CTCTGCTCCTCCTTTCTGACACCGGTTGGGATGGACTCAGGGTGTTTCCCTGCTCCCCCAGCCAGCGCTGACCCTCTCTCGTCCCTGCTTGGCCCCAGTCTGTGGCCCTGTGTGGCTGTCTCCCTGTGGGAATTTTGTCCAGGCGTCTTCGGGGAGCACGGCCTCTTCTCGGCTCCCCTGAGTTTGGGAGGAGGGCCCCACGGGGCGATGCTGGTCCTGGGGACTCTGCCGCTGGTGTGCATTCGTGGCCGTCCTGTTCTCTCCCCATGCCGGCTCCTGTCCCCACTCAGTCTCGTGCAGACTGTTGTCGCAGGTGGAGACCAGGGCAGGTGGAGGTGTCTTCGGGGGTTGTCCTTGGAGGCGGGCAGCGAAGGCCGTCCTGGGGTATGGCCCCACGCTCAGCATCTCTGACAGCCCCACAGTCTTGGCTGGCTTCTCCCCAGCCCATGCACAAGACGTTTCCTGGCTGGCTGCTGTGCCCCGGGCATTGTCACAGTGCTGAGTGTGTCAGTGAATGAAACACAAGTCCCGGCTCTCACGAGCTCTTAACCGTCCTCCATGTCACCTCTGCACTCGGAGCGCCTCACCTGCTCATGGGAAGTCCGGGTGCTGGGCTCGATGGCTGGGTGTCCCCTCTGCCTGCCTTGGGGGAGTCGGGCATTCTGGGGATGGTTTGGGGATTTTCCGCCCTATTCTGGGGCCAGCACAGAGGGTAGAAAGCCAGGGTCCCCCTGAGGTCTCTATGACCCTGGCGAGGCCCGGGTACAACCAGCACTGTGCCGTCTGCACCCCACCTCCTGTCACTGACATGGCTCCACAGCCCCCGGAGGGAAGACCCCCTCCTGGAGAAGTGGCCCCTGGGGGCCGGCGCCTGTCTCTGATCTGGTCTCTGTCCTCAGGGCATCCTGCTCAAGCGGAGTGGCAAGTCCCTGAACAAGGAGTGGAAGAAGAAGTATGTGACCCTCTGCGACAATGGGCTGCTCACCTACCACCCCAGCCTGCACGTGAGTCTGTGAGGCCGGCCCTGGGGGGGGCCGGGGCAGAGGGACAGGGACAGTGTGTGGCAGCTTGGCTCCAGCTTGGCTTAGTGAGTTCAAATGGACGTTCCCTTGAGTTGAGCAAGGATCTCACTTGGGTGGCTTGGGAACTGCCCAGCTCCTAGGCCGCGGGCCCGGGCCGAACGCATACACTGCGGCTCTGAGCTGTGGGCTGAGCCCGTCTGAGGGACGTCCCCGGGGATGGCTTACGGTGAGCAGTGGGCTGCAGCTTACGTTCTAGTCAGTTTAAGAGCTGATTTGGGCCCATTTGCACAGAATGGCTGAAGTTGGGGTGCCGATGTTGCCAGCTAATTGTTTTCAGGGAGCCACACCGGTGAGGGACCCTCGGGCCTGGGACGATGGAGAGCGCGAGGGCAGTCAGGCTAGGCCGTGGAGGACGGCGGGGGCCTCGTCCAGGCCACCTTGGGAGGAATAGCGTGGGGTGGCGTTGCCCGAGCATAGAGAGGTCTGGAAGGTGTGTGGCCCGTGGCCGGGGTGGGGGGTGGTAGTGACTGGAGAGCAGCTCCCCCACCCTCCCTTCCTCACCCGCCCCTCACCGCGTGGCTCCAGCACACAGCTGTCACGAGAATCCATCTCTGTCACCACCCCACTGTGGGGCTAATGAGTTCTCCTGTGAAGCCCCTCGAGCACAGCACGCGGGCCGGCCCCACCCCCGGTCCAGAGGCCCAGGGCCTGCCTCAGAGGGTCCCTTGCCTGCCTGCGAGTCCGCACCAGGCGTCAGGGAGGCTCAGCCCAGAGGCGTGCGGTTCGCGGTGCTGGCCGGAACCGCGTCCCGAGAACACTGTGTGGACAGCCCTGCCGAGGGCAGGCAGCGGTCCCTTCCCAGTCCCGCCAGAGCCCAGCCTGGCCCATGGCTACCCCTCGGGCATCGGCCCTTCCCCTGGCCCAGGGGACAGCACTGGTTAGACTGTCCGCTCTAGCCTCCCTTACTCCACAGGGTATGGGGGGGCGGAGGGAGGAGGGCTCACACCTGGGTGACGTGGGATATTTAGTACAAAGGCTCCTCGGCGCCATCCTCTCCTCCTCACGCTCAGACCTAGTCCCGCTGCCGAGTTGATGACACCGTGAGGGGCAGCAGGGTTACTAGGACAAGCAGTGCCACCGAGGCACAGGTGTCTTAGGAAGTCGGGGGTCAGCCTGCGGGACGGGGTCTCCGTGCTTGAGACGGCAGAACCGCAGAAGTTCCCGGCTGAGAGGGGCCGAGGGGCCGCCGTGCGCAGAGGTGGGGCCACATTGGCGCCTCCTGGCCTGGCTGGTTGTCCCCTGCCCCCGGCAGGACACGTGTGCGCTCCGCTTAGGCGCCGTCTCGCCAGTTGGGCCGGGAACTGCCCCGTCTGAAGCATCCAGGTTCCCCCACCTGTGTGTGGGGGCCTTTGCCTTTCGCCTTCGTTGCCTTCTTATCTGCTCCTTCTGCTCTCTGCTGCCCTCGCCGGGCGCTGCACTCTGTCCCCTCTGCTTGTCCCCAGGCCCCAGATAGTTGAGGAAGCCCAGGGCGAGGGGCGTGGCGGCAGCGGGGTCGGGCAGGGCGCGGTGTTGGCTTGGGTGCAGGAAGGGCGGGCAAAGACCGGGAGAGCTGCTTTTCCACTGCTTGGCACACTGCAGGGCCGAGGCGGCGGGCTTTGCTGGATCGTCACAGTCACCCAGCCAGTGTCGGAGCTGAGCCTTGGGCCCATGACTTTGACTCTTCAGCATTATCCAGATTTTTCTGCACGTTCCAAGAGCACCTCCCCTCGGGGCTGGCTGAGAAAGTCTCTGGAGAGTTAGCATCGGGGCAGGCATCACCCAGACTTACTGTTGCATAAGGAGGTGGGCCAGGCCGGGCGTCTGAGCTCCCCGGAGCCCCTCCAGCACCATGCTTGTCGGACCGTGTGTAGCTTGCTTAGTGTGTCTGAGGGCCTGGGACAGCAGCACAGTGGCCGAGGCTCCTGGCCTCGCAAGGTGAGCCTCACAGGCAGGTGGTTCTGCTGGCCAGCGTGCCAGGCCCCAGCCGGGCTGGCCCTTGGTCTGCTGGCCGCAGGACGCTATGAAGAGCTTCAGTGAGCAACTCTAGAGAGCCCAGGCTCCCCGTCTGTCACCTCGTCACCAGCTGCCCTTTGACTCCAGGGTCAAAATGCATGTCCTCGCCCCACACGGGGCACCAGGAGGAACCGGCACGTGCAGATGGCGCATCACGCCCTGTAGGCGTTTCTCCTCGCTCAGAAGACATGAATCTGATTCAGAGCTGCGTGGGGATGCGCGTGAAGGCCGAGCCGAGGGTGGCTGCGGGCCACCGCGCCCACGCGGCCCGAGTTTGCCCGTGGCGGAGGCCGCCTCGCTCCCACCACCCCTGGGGCTTCTTGGTTCCCTCCCGCGACGGGCCACTGCACTCGCGCCTCTGGCTTCCTGCTCCTGTCTCCCCTTTGCCGTGTTTTCCGATCTGAGCAAGCTTGGTGGCCAGCGGTGAGCAGGCACCCGGCCTCCCTGCGAGCCACCCTAGAGGGGCGCCCCGCACAGGGAGGACCCTGGGGAGCCCCAGCGGCACGCACAGAGCTCTTGGCGCAGCCCCTCCTGGGGACCACTCTTGTCTGAGACCCGAGGGCAGCAGTGCCGGTGACTCACCTGCACGTGGAGGCCGCTCGGGCTGCAGGGACGGGCCGGCGGGCAGGCCACGCGCTGATCCTCGCCTGGCCCAAGAGAGCCCGCCACAGCCACCCCCATTTTGCAGCCAGCGGAGCCATTCACACAATCACCTTCTGTTAATTCTATCTGCAACATCAATTAAATTGTTTGTAGAAACTAATTGAATGTGGCTTAATCACACATCTTAATAGCTTTCCACGCTCTGAACTCGTTGTTAATTCCAGTAATAAAACGAGATGAGAACGCTGGCTGGGTAATTAGCGAGGAGGCTGGGGAAGAAATTGCTGTTTGATGGTGGGTAATAAAGGCAGCCGCGGTGACCGCTCTCCTGAAGCCGCCACCACTGCCAACGCCGAGCTCCCCGTTCTGCTGACGGAGGGAAACGCTGCCGCTCTGCGCCTGACGCTCCAGTCCCCGCTGCTGCTCCTCAAGCTCCTTGTCTCTCTCCTTGGGGCCGGGCTCCTTCTCTCGGCTCGGCCCTGGAGCCGGTGTGGCACAGGACACCAAGCGGAGAGCGCCTGCCTGTCCGCGTGGCCAGAGACGCCGATGGGGCGGGTCCTCTCCCCTGCCCGTCGGTGTCTGGCCTCTTGACCCTGAACAGAGTTCCTCCGCGCGGCTCTTATCGTTGGCGTAGGGCCAGCTTCCCGCGCCACGTCCCAGCCTGGGCATCCCTGCTCTGTTGTGGGGCCTGAAAACTGGTGGAGCTGCTGTGACCTCCTTGTGAACTAGAGCAGCCTAAGCTCCTCCCCCAGGAGAGGGACTGCATCTGTGGCTTTGGCCCAGCCAGCTGTTGACAGTCGTCTGAAGCAGGCGATCCAAGATGGGGTTGTGTGCAGGACTCAGGACAAGTATGCAGGGACCCAGGATGGGTATGCCCAGGGACCCAGGACGAGTATACGCAGGGACCCAGGGTGGGTATGCGCAGGGACTGGGGGCAAGTATATGCAGATGCCGAGTCAGTGGGATGTTGGGGCTTGGAGTCGGGAGGGCTGAGGTAATGAAGTCACATGTGGATGCTGGGCTGAAAGCAGGCTGGACCAGAGGGCCACCGGCAACTGGGCGAGGCGGGCCGAGTTTGCTGGAGAAGGGACAGTGGGCACTGGGGGAGCAGGAAACAGGTTGCTGGGTGTCTTTCCTTCCCAGCCACCGTGGTGAGGCTCAGGGCTGGGGACAGGCCCAGCAGGGCTCAGCAGGGTAGGGGTGTTCCCGGGGGCAGAGACTGCGTGCTCAGTGATCTTGGTGACACTGCTCTGTGGTTCTGACCCACAAAGCAGACACCCTCACAGCAGGGTGTGCCTGAGGCCAGGCACCCAGTGCCGCCCGTCACAGGACTGGGTGGTGGCAGGAGGGCGTGGACACAGCCTGGGCTGCAGGGAAGGGGCGTCCTCCTTGGACACACGCTTTGGGGGCTGCTCCTCCCCTGGCTGGGTGACAAGAAGCCTGACGCCCCAAAGCGGGTAAGGTAGGCAGCCTCCGAGGACACGGAGCCTGCATCTGAGACCACACCATGTCACTCAGGGATGCTCTCTGATGTAAAACGTCCCAGAGGAGTCTAGTCCGTGGGATTCTGTGCCAAGTGTCCTCGCTACCACCACTGTCTTCTGCCCTGGGGGACTCCTGTGCGGGGCGGGGTGGGGTGGGGTGCCCAAGCTGAGGCAGCAGCAGCGAGAACGGTGGGGTCAAAGCACTGAGCGGCTCCTGCTCTGGGTCCCCCACTGCTCCACCTCCGGGCCCTGCGGGTACTGACTAGCACCGGGGTGGGAGGAAGTCGGCCTGCGGCGCGCAGCCTTGCGAGTCGGAAAAGCCAGGCTTGATGAGCGTGATCTCTGTCAGCCTCGGTTTCTCCACCTGGAGAGTGGGCATAGTGACTCCCCGCTTCCGGGTGGCGTGGAGACTGAGGTCACGTCAACTGGAGACACGGCTACAGTGCAGGGACCACCGGGCACCCGGACAGGCAGGGGGGTGGGCCGGTGATCATGGTCACTGTCACTACGGGAGAGCAGATACTCCCTGGTATCTGCAAAGCCGGGGCCTGTCTCATAATCCCCGACAGCAAGAAGGATGGGGGGCGCCCATGTCACTGCCCGGCAGACGCTGCCAGGCGTTGTTCTAAGGACCAGAGGCTGTTCCAGGCCATGAACATTCTCGATGCCCCACGTGGCAGTGGGAGCTTCTGAAAACAGGGCCGCGGAGCTCCGTGCAGCCGCCCGGAGCCTGGGAGCCCCGTCGTCCGCATCCCGTGGAATCTGTCAGTTCCTCTCCTCGGCCACATGTCCCTCTCTCCCTGAATTCCGTCTTGGTCCAGTACTCGGCCTCCTTCGTGTTGCCTCCTGAGCCATCTTCCCCAAAGGAGGCCCGAGCCTCAGCTCTCGGCCCCAGACCCTTCTCTCCTCTGACAACTCTGAGTCCCCGGAGCCGCGTGTGACAGCCTGTAGGTCTAGGCATGATCCAGACTCGGGGAGGTTCTCTGGGCCTCGCAGTCCTGCTCTGTGAACTTGAGCTCGCCCTCCTTACGCCACCCCAGGCAGCATAGCGGGGAGAGGGCCAGTGCCAGAAACAAGTGCTGCCCGGGAGTGACCTGTCCTAACGAATCCGTCTATCCTTAGGACTACATGCAGAACGTCCACGGCAAGGAGATCGATCTGCTGCGGACGACAGTGAAGGTGCCAGGCAAGCGCCTGCCCCGCGCCACGCCCACCACAGCCCCGGGCACCAGCCCCCGGGCCAACGGGCTGGCCTTGGAGCGGAGTAACACCCAGCTGGGTGGGGGCACAGGTGAGGTGGCTGCCGCGGCGGGGGGCACGTGGAGAGCTCTGCCTCTTTGGAAGAGTGGGGAGCGCTGCTCTGGGGCCCAGGGAGGCGGGAAGGGGCTTCGTCGCTGGGCCTGTCCTCAGGGCTGCAGACGCGCTCGCCAGCGGCATCCTGCTGTACGAGCAGCTCAGCCGCACGCATTTGCCAAAATGCCGCCCTGGCGGAGTTACAGGGCCAGCCCGGCACGGGGTCTGGAGAGCAGAACGGGGGCAGAGGGCCTCGTGCTGACAATGGCATCGGTGGTCCTGGGCCCACCTGGAGCCAGGGAAGTGACGGTGGGGACAGGACCCTTGACGTGCATGGCCAGCCTCTCAGCCAGCTTGCCATGTGGGAAGGGAGGAGGCTGGAAGCAGGCAGAGCTGCCTGGGGTCCACCTGGCAGACGCCCTCAGTCTGCAGTGAGCAGTGGGGTCTCTGCTCGGAGAGGACCGAGTTTAGGGAGACGCGGGAGGCCCCGCCGGTGCGGCCGTGTGCCCAGCGTCTGGGAGGAGGAGCCGGAGCCCGAGAGAGTGAGCTTGAGGTGGGCAGCTCTTCAGCCAGTTCTTACCTCCCAGGTGGGACTGTGGGTTCGAGTGACAGGCGCTGTGCTCCCTCCTGGCCCCGGCTCTGGCCTCTCCAGCTTCTCAGCCACATAGTTCTTCGGAGGCTGTTCCTCCCGTGCCCAGTCCCCTTGGCTTCTGGACGCTTGTTCCCAAGACCTCAGGACCCCTGATGTCATCCTCAGTAATTGGATCGCGTTTTTCTCTGGCCCAGAAACGGCTGCTCAGGACACCGTTGTCCCGTCCTAGGGGCTGCCACTATGTCCTTGCCCCGGCGGTCAGCGCTCAGCAGCGGAGGTGTGCCGCTGTCCCTAGAGGGCGTGGAGATGCAGCGGTGCTTCTGCTGGACATTCAGGGGACAGGGCTGGGGCACTGAGTCCCTGGAGTGGATGGGACAGACCTGCACGGAGAAGCTCAGGGCTGAGGAAGGTGGGCGGCGACAGCCTCCTGCGTGTGCTCCTGTTTGAGAAGGGGGCCCCGTGCCCTCGGCAGTGGCCCTGGGGCGTGTGTTGGGCCGGGGGCACTGGCAGAGGCAGGGGACACTGACACCCGCAGAGTGGCACGTACAGGAGATGTGCGCGTGTCAGGGCCTGTTCCCCAGCTCTGTGGAGTTGAGATCGTCGCCCCATTTTATGGATGAGGAACGAGGGCCGAGAGGGTTACTGACTTGTCTGCAAAACCCCACAGCAAGTGGTCGGGCTGCGGTTGAAACCTAAGTGTGCCTGCCTCGAAAAGCTGTGTCCTGTCCCCTCAGCCACCCTGGGCTCAGGAAGAAGGCCTGAGGGAGAGCTGTGTGGACGAAGGGAGCCGAGGCAAGAAAGACTGGCACCCATCAGGGAGGGGAGGGGTGCCCACAGCCTCCTGGGGGGCGCGCTGGGGAGCGGCCTGGCTCCATGGCGAAGGTGGGGGCCGTGCGCAGACCCCAGTGCTCTGGGACAGTGCTGGCATGCAGTGCAGGGGGCTGGGGACCAGCCAAGGCCCCAAGGGCTCCCCAGAGCTGCTCACAGACAGCAAGTGGCGGCCTCTAGCCAGGTGGGGGTTCCTCACCTCGTCCTGGAGGAGGAGGACGTGTGAGTGCTCTACAGGGAAAGCTGGGCTCGGACCCCAAAGGGAAGGGAACTAAGACACGTCCAGTCACGTTCCCGGGCCCTGACGGCCTTCGCCTGGGAGCAGACGCAGCACGCTCACCCCAGACCGTCGCCGCCATCCCCACAACACATGGACGGGCGTTTACCGAAGCCCAGTCCGCTCCGCACACGCCGACACCGACCTCGTGCACACTCACACATGTCTCCTGCTCACCGGGCGATGTTAACATCTCATTATCTTTGTTACTGTAATTACATTATCCGCTGCTTTATGCAGAATTATCCTCCGAGGACTAATTGATGGCTCCATGTTTAATTCATTAATCATTAGCATCAAATTCGACAATTACAGTGCACACTGATTGTGGGGTTGCAGGCGTAATGAGGGGAGAATTAACAAAGAAAAGGGAGAGCACTTTTCCTCCCTTGGGGTTTGGGTTGGGGGGCTTGGGGAGGAAGTCGGGCCTGTGATCTCGGGTCGGCAGGGATGAGGGGGAGTGAGACCTGGAAGCAGGAGTTGGGGAGAGGCGAGGCGTTTGAGAGGTTGGGGGCTGACTTGCTCCCCTGGAAGGTTTCCCGACCCCCGGAAAGGTTATGTTTGCAGGGACCTGTGGGGCCGGAGCGGGAAGCGGGCGGCATCGTCAAGAGGAGGCAGCATCTCGTTGCCTTCGGGCGGCTGGACCAGCATAGACTGGCTGTAGGCTCAGCGCCATGCGCATGTTAATAAGCACCTACTGTGTGCCTGGTCCTGCCTTGGGTGTTAGACAAATACAAGAGAAACACACTGCTCTGCACATGTCCACGTCGTCTTGTCCCCAGAGCATTAGGGATGTCCGGCCTGTTCCTTTAGGTCCTGGTGTCTTCAGCTCAGAGCTTCCAAAAACTCAACCCGCCTGTCTGCAGGGCTTGTCTGAGGCCTTGCGTGCCGCTTGCTCTGTCCGGCTCGCTGGCCATCTCTGCCTCCTTACTAACCTCCAACACCCGGCCGGGTCCTCCGCTTTGTGTGCCGACACCGCAGTAGGGCCCAGCCCTCCCCAGACCTCCCACAGCCCCTGCCGTCTGGCCTCGGCCTCCCCGTCTTGGGGGGACTAAGGTGAGAGCGTGGCCCGTGGCTGGACCCACGATGTCTCCACAAGTGACTTGGGTGGAGGCAGGAGGGTTGGAGGGTTCAGGGATGCCCGCGGCCCCGCTGCCCGGCCTGCGCACTCCTGGAGCCTTCGGTTCCCCTTGGCTCCGCCGCTCTTTCCTGATGAGAAACGAAGATTAATTTTCTCCAGCCCAACAGGGTAATTACTAATACTAATTAGACGTAATTACTTGAATTTGATACACTTATTTCCCGTCAGAATGGCAGCAGAGCCGAGGCAGAGCAAGTGGCATATGTGGACTAGAATATGGGGTCCAGACCTCTGACCAGATGGGGAAGCGGGCTGAGGACACTGGCTGGAGGGGGGGCCCTGCTGTGTGTCGGGGGCGGGGGTGAGTACTACTCTCCCCCCAACACTTCCGGCTCCTGGATGCCAGGCAGGGGACAGAGGTGTGCACCTTTGCGTTCACGGAGAGGAGGGACGTGCAGTGGCACCGGCTGCCCCCTGAGGCGCGCAGGGCGAGTGCGAGGCCCCTGGTCCTCCAGCCAGCCTGGCCCTGGCCCTGTGGCCCAGCACCCCCTCATTTCTGGGCAGCCTCCTGTCGTGATTTCTCAAGCTCCGCCCGCAGCCCTATTTTCAGGAAAGCCTCTGCATACCCTACCCCAGCCTTCCCCGCAGTCTGACCCTTCCCCCCTCCCCAGGTGCCCCCCACTCGGCCAGCAACCCAGCCTGGGCTGGCCAGCGCTCCTGCTCCGTCTCCAGTGCCGACCAGTGGAGTGAGGCCTCTGCCCTGTCCCCAGGTATGCAGGACCCCATGAAGGGACAGAGGACGGCAGCCGTGCGGCATTTGCGGCCGAGCCGCTGTGATGGCATGGTGCCCAGGCCCAGGGGAGGGGCCCAGCGGAGCCCCCTGGGAAAGGAGCAGAGGCTCTCACCCTCCCCAGCCGCCCCGCGTGCTCCCTGCCCACCTCTCCCTTAGCTCTCCCAGGCCCTTGCCCGTGGCTGACGCCAGAGACTCTCCCTCTGCAGCTTCTCCGCCCGCCCGCCCGCCGCTGTCCCCAGGCGGCGCTGGTGGCTGCTCCGACATCCCCATCAGCCCCCTGCGCAGCCAGCTCATCAGCCTCGCCGCGGGGGGGTGCAGGGGAGCGGGGCTGAGGAGGGAGGTCGGAGGCCGGGGGCTTTAACCACGTGCTGAGGGCGGCACCTTGCCTGCAGGGGTGGGGGAGGGTCCCCTGCACACGGGACCCACGGCGTAGTCTGGAAAGGGGGTGTTCCTGCCTGCCACCCAGGGACAGGCTGAGGCCCACCTGTCTCGGAGGCTGAAAACTACCTTCTCTCTCCCACGCCACCCCCTTCCCTTGGCCCGTCTTCATTTTCTTACCCCTTTGTCCGTATTTGGACCTTGTTCGCATCTCAATTCTTCCCTCTCATCCCTTCCTCCTGTGTCTAGCGAGAACCTGCACACACGCCCACGCCCACACCGAGCACCAACACACGCCCACGCCGAGCACCTGCACACGCCCACGCCGAGCACCTACA